TTCTGTATTTCTGTAGTGTCTGTTGTGATACTGCCTTTTTCATCTCGTATGTTAGTAATTTGAGTTCTCTCTCTTCTTCTCTTTGTTAGCATGGCTAAGGGCCTGTCGATCTTATTTATTTTTTCAAAGAACCAACTTTTAGTTTTTTCAATTTTTTCAATGTTTTTTTTGGTTTCAATTTCATTGATTTCTGGTCTAATTTTAATTATTTCTTGTCTTCTACTACATTTGCTGTTGTTTTGCTCTTCCTTTTCTAGTTTTTTTGAGGTGTAGTGTGAGTTCATTTATTTATTGGTTTTTTCTTTTTTTGAGGAAAGAACTCCATGAATTTCCCTCTTAAAACCGCTTTCATTGTGTCCCATAGATTCCGGTATGTTGTGTCTGTATTGTCATTTGTCTCTAAGAATTTTTTTATCTCCTCCTTTATGTCTTCTATAACCCAGTGATCTTTCAGTAACATATTGTTCATTTTCCATGTGATGTAGGATTTTTCCTTCCTTCTTTTATCATTGATTTCCACTTTCAATCCATTATGATCAGATATGGTGCATGGTATTATCTCCACACCTTTATATTTACTGAGGGTCGCCCTATGGCATAATATATGGTCTATCTTTGAGTAGGATCCACGTGCTGCTGAGAAGAACGTGTATCCACTTCATGATGGTTGATATATTCTATATATGTCGGTTAAGTCTAGATTATTGATTGCGTTATTGAGTTTTATAGTTTCTTTGTTCAGCTTTTGTCTAGAGGATCTGTCCAATGGCGAGAGTGGTGTGTTGAAATCCCCCATAATTATTGTGTTGTGGTCTATTTGATTCTTGAACTTGAGGAGAGTTTGTTTTATGAACGTTGCAGCACCACTGTTTGGTGCATACAAATTGATAATTGTTATGTCTAGATGGTGGATGGTTCCTTTTAACAGTATATAGTGTCCTTCTTTATCCCTTTTGATTAACTTAGGTTTGAAGTTGATTTTATTCGATATGAGTATGGATACTCCTGCTTGCTTCTGAGGGCCATGTGAGTGGCATGATTTTTCCCAATCTTTCACCTTCAGCCTGTGTATGTCTTTTCCTATCATATGAGTCTCCTGAAGGCAGAATATTGTTGGATTTGTTTTTTAAATCCAGGTTACTAGCCTATGTCTCTTGATTGGTGAATTTAAGCCATTAACATCTAAGGTTACAATTGAAATATGGTTTGTACTTCCAGTCATGTTTATTTATTTATTTTAATTTGGCTAGTTTTTCCTCTTTGGTTATTTTTCTCCCCCTTTACTGAGATACCTCCCACTGTTAGTTTTGGGCACTATTTTTCAATTCCTCTTCTTGTAGTATTTTGCTCAAAATGCTTTGCAGTGCTAGTTTTCTGGCTTTGAATTCTTTTAGCTTTTGTTTATTGTGAAAGATTTTAATTTCATTGTCAAATCTGAAGCTTAATTTTGCTGGATACAGTATTCTTGGTTGGAATCCATTATTTTTCAGCATTTGAAATAAGTTGTTCCAGGATCTTCTTGCTTTCAAGTCTGTGATGAAAAATCAGTTGTTAACCTAATTGGTTTACCCCTGAATGTAATCTGCCTCCTTTCTCTCGTAGCTTTTAATATTCTCTCCTTGTTCTGTATGTTAGCTATCTTCATAATTATTTGTCTTGGAGTTGGTCTATTAAGGTTTTGGATGTTTGGGGTCCTGTAGGCTTCCAGGATTTGGCAATCCATTCCATCTTTCATCTCTGGGAAGTTTTCTAGGATTATTTCATTTAATAAGTTGTCCATTCCTTTGGTTTGAACCTCTGTGCCTTCTTCTATCCCAATGACTCTCAAATTTGTTTTTTTTTAATGAGATCCCATATCTCTTGGATAGATTGCTCGTGACATTTAAATACCTTTTCTGTGTTGACTATATTCTTTTCAAGTTGATAAACTTTGTCTTCATTATCTGATGTTCTGACTTCTACTTGATCTAGTCTATTTGTAATATTCTCATTAGAGTTTTTAATCTGGTTTATGGTTTCTTGCATTTCTAGGATTACTGTTTGTTTTTTTTTTAAAATCTCTATCTCCTGGTAAGGCTCGTTCTTTGCAGTTTGAATTTGTTTGTTTAGTTCCTTTTCAAAATATACTTTCAATGCTTGGACTTGCTGTCTCATGTCTTCTCTAATATTCTGTTCCATCTGAGTTAGGTATGCCTTGATTTCTTTCCCTGTCCATGTTTCTGTAGATTTAAGTTGTCTTGCATTGTTTGTAGTCCTTTTTTCCCTTGTTTTTTCATGTTGTTCACGTTACTTTCCAGCTCTGTTTGACTGCTTTGTAACTGCTTTCTCCTATACATTTGTTTTGGCTTTATATATCTCTGTTGTCTCTCCTTTGTGGTGGGAGATTATGCCTAGAAACATTGGGCTTTATTGTACTTTAAAGCTGATTCATTCAATTCATAAAAGGCTTCCAGGTTCTGTATGCATATAGTGATTTGTTGTTTGTTCTTAGGACTATATGTTTAGGTTAGGTGCTATGATGGTACGAGGGTTAGTATGTCTTGGCTACTTTAGAAGATTGCTATATTGAAGGTGGCTACTAACAGGCAATTGAATCAGGGTGTTGGTAGTAGCTAGGTATTTAGGAGCCCTATAGACAGCCTCGAGACATTCACCTATTTGCATTTAGACAATTACACGTAATGGTAGACGTAATGCTTGGGATGAAAGTTGGGTGGTAGGGGAATGACGGTGCTCTTAAAAAGAAAGAAGGAGAGAGAGATAGATTAGAGGAGAATGAAAAGAACAATAAAACTTGAAAAAGGAAAGAAAGAGAGAATGAAAAGGGGAGAAAGGGACAGAGAGAGAAGAAGAAAAAAAAATATTGAAGTCTTAGAGATCAATTTTCTTCTCTTCCAGTAGGCGGAGCTGTGCCCTCTGAGCGGAGCTTCTGCTCTCTACCTGCCCATAGCAATCCCTGTAAGGTGTCTCCTGGGAGTCTCTCAGACTTGTCAGTCCAGAGCCGTTTCACTTCTCCGGCCCTTAACCCCCTTCCTCCTGTCAGCCAGCCAGGTGCTGTTCACCAGAAGCGGTTCCCCAGAGATCTAGTTACACTTGCAGCCCCATCATGTGTCCCATTTAAGCCCCAGTGCTGTGGTAAACTGGTGGCTAAGACCTTGGGAGTCATCGCTGGTGATGTGGGGGGCTTGGGGGTCGGGGATCCCCTCTACTTCCCTACAGACATGACCCCTGCGAGGTCCATGAAGTTTCCTGGCTGCTTGTATCTGGATGGGGAGGGAGTCACACACCTGCTAAAGTGGATTCTGCTGGGAAGGAATTCCGTCGGCCGAACTCCGATGACATCACCTCTCTGCTATGGCAGGCCCCAGGCTCCTTGCGGGAGTGTCCGAAGGGAGGGGTGGGTCTGGTCCGTCCCCGGTTGGCTTCAGCTCCCAACTTGCTAATTCATGAAGGCTTGGCTAAAGACTTCTTCCTGCCAAACTGTGTCTTGAAGGCCAGCGGGACCTCTACAATGAAAACTACAGAACACTAAAAATAGATCTTAGAAGATGGAAAGACCTCCTCTGTTCTTGGATAGGTAAAATGAATATTGTCAAAATGACCATACTACCAAAAGTCCTATACAGACTCAATGCAATTCCTATCAAAATTCCAATGATATTTTTTATGAAATTCATTTGGAAAAATAAGAGGCTCAGAATAGCCAAAGCAGTCCTTAGTGAGAAAAGTGAATCAGGAGACATCACAATACCAGACCTAAAATTATACTATAGAGCTATAGTAACACTGGCACCAAAATAGGCAAGATGACCAAATGAAACATAATATAAGACACAGAAACAAACCCACAAAAATATAGTTACCTTATACTAAGCAGAGGCACCAAAAACATACATTGGAGAAAAGATAGCCTCTTCACCAAATGGGCCTGGGGAAACTGGAAATTCATATGAAGTAAAATGAAATTTAACCCCTCTTTCTCATCCTGCACACAACTCTGCTCAAAGTGGATCAAGGACTTGAATCTGTTTCTATTTCCCTTTTGTCTGATATTCTTCCTTAAGCAATTATTTTAAAGCTTTCCTTTAATTGGTATCTATTTCATCTCTGTTCCTATGAAATATTTTTTGCTAGATATAGACTTATGGGTTCACAGATTATTTATTTATTTATTTATATTTTGGCACCAGGGATTGAACTGGTGGGTGTGTGCTTAGACTTCTGGGTTCACAGAATATATATATTTATATATTTGGCATCAGGGATTGAACTCAAGGGGGTCATACTTAATCTGAGCCACATCCCCAGTCCTTTAAAAATTTTTTTTGAGACAGAGTCTTGCTAAGTTCCTGAGACTGGCTTTGAACTTGCGATTCTCTTGCTTCGGTCTCCCAAGCCACTGAGATTATAGATGCCCGGCCACAGATTTTTATAAACACTGAAAAATATTATTATTTTCTTCTGGCTCCCATCATTTGTGTTATGAAGTTTAGTCAAAATGTCCTATAAGTAATAAGTCATTTACTTTTCTCTGCTTTCAAAATATTTTGCTTCCATAGCTTGATTATGTTTTGGAGAGTAATTTTTTTGGTTTATTCTGCTTGAAATTCCATGAGTTTCTTGAATGTGTAGGTTTCTAATTTTTCCAAATTTGGAAATTTCCCAAAATTTTTATGTACTTCATTTTTTCCCTCTTCTTCTAGATCTTCCATCATAAAGATATTAGACATTTTGTTATTTCCCGACAGGTCCCTGGGGCTTCTGTTCCTCACCTCCATCTTTTTTCTTTCTTATTTGGATTGGACAGCTTTTATTTATCTGCCTACAAATCCATTAACTCTTTCCTCTTTTATTCTTCTGCTGTTGATTCTATCCAGTAAGGAGGATTTTTTTTTAGGAATAAATGGTGAAATAAACTATAGATTCATTCATACAATGGGATATTTTATAGCTATTAAAATGAACAAAGGTAATAAAATCAATATGTACAAACTTGAGATTATAATGGTGAATGAAAAATAGCTGGTGGCAAATTATAAATTTAATGTTCAGTGACATTTATATGTTAAAGACACACAAAAGTAATGTTGTATATTGTTTATGGAATCATACAAATGTAACAAAAATGTATGGATATAATATGTATATATTCAAAGATACTTTTTTTTTCTGGAGGGAGTGTGAAGAGAAGGGAAAGAGAGAAGTGGGGCTTTTGCTATAACTAACGTTTTCTTTGTTGAAAATAATTCTGTACCAAGTAAAGCAAATAGTTAACCTGTACTGAACTATAAGTTCAAGGGCGTATGTTATTTCATAAACTTTAAGAGCTTTAACAGAGTAAATGTTCCTCAGTGACTATACTTGCCTTGATGAATAGGAACAGAGTCATCAAGCTGATGGTAACCAAAAGTGTCAAGAAGGATGTGACAAAATCAGCACCCCAGAGTTGCCAGCATGTCAGGCCCATTATTAGAAGGTAATCCTGTGGGAGACAGAATGGAGCGGTAACAGCAAACATATATAAACACATGAGCCAAATCTTTCTTGGATATCTTTTTAAAAAATTATTTTATTATAATATTTACTACAATAAATATTGTTTTGTACACATAGACATAAACTCAGATATACAACACATATACACAGAAAACCACAACCAATATGAAATAAGCCTTATGCAGCAATTACATTTGAGATAGAATTGTTCATGGGTTTTGACCAAGTGAAATCTCATATCACAACTGTCTTAGTTTATTCAAACTCTAGTATCATCTCAAAAAACAGGAAGAAGCCCTTTTTCCTAAACATAAATCCCGTTCATTCCTGAATGCAACTATTAAATTTTACATTAAATTAAGCATTATATAAGCAATAACTGCATGAGAAACTGTTAAAAATTTCTATGAGAGAAATTTATACTTTTTCTCTTTTCTTTCCTATCATCCCCCATCACCAGCTTTTGCTTGGGATTCCATTTATCTTATGATGCATCATCACCAGCACATTTTTTCTTACAGTTTTAGATGAATACAATGCCTTTATTTTTTTTATTTATATGCAGTGCTGAGGATCAAACCCAGTGCCCCACACATGCTAGACAAGCACTCTACCACTAAGCCACAACCCTAGCCCCCCAGCACATCTTATTTATATTCTATATGTGGAAAATCTATCAGATACAACTGCTACATTTCTAAGTAAATATGATACCTCAAGAAATACTATAATATGTGGCCAATGAGTTTACTTTCATTACAATTTCAATTAGTAAAAAAATGCTTAATAGCAGGCCACTTCTAGAAAAGGGAAGCCCATGGAAGGTATAATAGTGACTGAACTGGAAACATTCTTCAGAAACACATAAATGAATACATGTGGAGTTTCTAACTACAATAAAGCAGGATCAAACACAGCCTAAATTACCTGCGGTGACAATCAGTAACATTGATAGCTGAGAAAAAACACTGCTAGTTGAGTTAAAAAGAGATGCTTCCCGGGCTGGGGATGTGGCTCAAGCGGTAGCATGCTCGCCTGGCATGCGTGCGGCCTGGGTTGGATCCTCAGTACCACATACAAACAAAGATGTTGTGTCCGCCGAAAACTAAAAAATAAATATTAAAAAAATTCTCTCTTTAAAAAAAAAAAAAGAGAGATGCTTCCCTTGGAATAACAAGCAGGTTACGCAGTGTACTTGTACTGTTATATTAATGTGTATTAACTAACATTTTGAATTGAAGCATGAATACTAATCTTTGCTCATTTATATTGTGGTAATAAAGAAGGGAAATTAATGGTTAATGAAAAACAACAATAACAAAAACTCCAGCATCATTGCTTTCCTAGTGAAAAACTAGGAAAATTAGACCATTCTCAAATGTAGAATGGAGTAATTTGTGGTATATTATTACACTGGAATATTATGCAAGAGGAAAAAAATGAATGAAAATGCATCCAATATGTATCAATCTCACAAACATTAAATGACAAGAGCAAATAGAATAATATATGATACTTATAAAATTAAGAAAATATGTTATTTGGAGATACATACATCTGTGGTGAAAACATGAAGAAAAGCAAAACAATTACATGAAATTCTCCAAAGGTACTGGTAATATTAGTGTCTTATAAACTACATATATATACACTATTTTGTATGCAATTTTTAACTCAAAACGAAGTGAAAAAGCAATACATGTGGCTCAGAATGGGGATGCCAAAGTCATGGTTAAACTGTTCTAGGAATACAGAATCTAATAAAAAATATTTCACAAATTTTGTTCATCTTCTTGGGGAACATATTAAAAATTAAACAAAAATCATAACTGTATTCTTCTACAGAATCTATAATCCAATCTTTTTTAATGGTTTGGAACATTATTTAAAATGATGGCAATTAAAATAATCACAAAAAGTAGGGAGACGGCCATGAAAAAACTGAAAAAGGTTTTCAATTTTTTATCGAAGAATGAGAAGTCCAAAAGGTGACAAATGAAACAACTAAGGCAAATATGGACTCCTATACCAAATCCTGCAATAATATATTTTAGCCAATTGACCAAACTGTGAGTTTCTCTAAATGTCTTTCTCACTCTTTACTCATAATCAGTTACCAAATTCTTTCAGTTTTTAAAATACCTTTTAATCTGTTATCAGTTTAACTTCACCAGCATCTTCTCCTATTGAATAGCTTACTATTCCCACCTTTGCCATCTTTCAATTCCTGAATGACATTTAAAAGTGTAAATTTAATCATGCCATTTCCTTACTCAAAAATCTTTTAGTAGTATCCCATAACTCTTAGGAAAAACCCAGTATCCTTAACCTGTACTATAAAACCTTGCTTTATTGTAATCTTGTGTGGCTATTTTCTTGCCTCTGTGATTCTGCCTTCTTTCAGGTCTTTGGGTACCCCATAATTCCTTCATTTCTCATAACCCTGGAACAGCCACCGTTTGTTTAGAGAAGAGCTTTAAAATATCTTCCTTCTCCCTTTGCACCTAGGGATATAATAAATTCCATGACTTTACTGAATCCTTTATTCAAGCCAAAAGCTGGAAAATCTGTTCTTTAATTAACATTAGTTTTCTCCTTCAAGTTCAGGACTGTCTACATGGGAATTTTTGGATCTGGGAAGAAGATCACAAATATACCTAAAAGATAAGAATTATCTTTATACCTTCTTTGTAATTACTGTAGCAAGTGAACTAATTTGAGGTTCAAACAAGATAACTTGCTTAAGAGCACACACCATTAAAACTTAGGCAATGCCAGCATTCAAAATTGAATCTATTTTATTCCTGAGTGTCCATCCATTAAAGTATATTCTTACACTCTAGGGTAAAATCACCTCATGAGGAAGTTTTCTAAAGAAACAGAGCACACAAACTTGTAGAGCTTAAGTAACAATTTAAGGAATGAAATTATGAAATTATGATGGCATTAATAGGAATTTTAGAAAGTCTATAGGTCAAGTAAACCAATTTAAAATGTGAGAAAATGAATTCAATCTAG